TTTGCTGGTGTCCCCTATAATGAAGCGCTAAGATTGCGGCCGGACATATCCTACTTATGACTGTGTGACTTATGGCCGTAAATTTCTGAGCTGGAATCACCTCACTAGTGGGCACAACTCTCTAATGTTTCGCTAGAAGAAAACATGCCTTTTATTCGTGAATGCCGGTCTTAAAGGCATGCCCCAGGATCACATTGGTGTGGCTCTTGCACACGAATGCGAATGTATTGGTGCGAAATGGGCCGGCAGTAAGAAAAAAGGAAAAGAATCCGTCGAAAACGCTTAGGTTAAGGGCTCACTCACCTTCCTAATCGGCTGTGCTAAGGGAATGAGAGACTAAGCGCGGAGAGGAGAGTATGAGGCGAGAGAGCGCTACAGATGAGAGAGCGCCAGACAACAGCCTGATAAGAGAAAAAATCTGCAGCTTCAGCAGCTTACTTTGCAAGGCCCAAGCGCTCTTGTCGGTTGGTTTCCGTGCACGGGAACGCCACATTTGTGATTGTCCTCTAGGGTCTATACTACAGACCGAAGAGAAGCGTTCACACGACCTCTGCCTGGGTTGTGCCTTTAATGACGATAAATGGCGCGAAAGGATTCATGCCAAGTGAATTCTAGTGTTGTCAGTACTCGGAGGTCTTCAATGAAACCAATCAAACCAATAAACTTCGCGAATTTAGAAAATGAATACGAACCGCCACTCCCCAATATCTTCTCCATGCATTGGTTCCTCACACTCTTCTCCACATGCTTACCACGAGACTGCGTGATGCGAGTTTGGGACGCCCTGATGTTGCAGGGATCTGAAGTTCTTCTTCGAACCGCTATTGCTTTGTGGTCAAAAATGAGCAGGTAAATTTCTTCGCACATCAGAATTTGGGAGAGTTTCTTGCAAACATACGAAAACGTCCTGACTCACTACAAATATCAGGATTCAGCCCTCACGAAAAAACAGGCCTTTTTCAATTGTGATTTTATTGCAGAACAATTCTGCGCACATCTTCTGCCGACGAGTTCTACACACTTATGGGTAAACTTTGTAAAGAATTGGCGGAAATGGATCCAGGAAGAACAGGATCATCTCATAACGGTAAGGGAACGTTTTTTCGAAGGAACCCAAAGAACAAATGCATAAATAAGACGGTCTGGCGCCAGTGTCACAACTTTGCAATCATCCCTGCTGGGACCGTTGCTTTAACAATATGCCAAGTAATGCTTGCGGGAAGAGGGCGAGGGGCGTGGCGCAGAGCACCAAAGGTGTTCAAAACCAGAACCAGAACCTTTGAATGTTCATGCTCACTTGCCCTCTTGAGCAGGGTGGTCCACATACTTCTTAGTCTCCTGCTCTCCGCAGAAACAAAAAACTGGTGACAATCGTCATCGCGATAAAGCCACAAGCAGCCATTACAAAGCGACCAAAATGTGTAGAAAGAGTAGATCCAGATCTTCGACCTCAAAGATGGGTGTCAGCATCCTAGAAACCTTTACTTGTATATCTATCAGGTTGTAGAAGAATTTTTTGGGAATTTTTGGTCACAAGCGAGCAACTTTAAGCTTAGTGTCTATTCTAAATGAAGTTGTCCGAACTCACCTGAATGATGCTCCACATAACAACTCCCTCGCATTCGGATGGAGGAATCCACGGCTCTTCAAACAAGCATCTCCGTAGAGCGCGACAATGTACCACCGGGGAGCGGATTTCAGTAAAAATTTTTTTTTCGTTCAAATCAGGCTTATCCCATACTAGGATTGCCTAACCCTCAAGCATGGTTCCCTGTGCGATACTGTTCACGTATGTCCTGCTACTGGCACACCACACTGAAAGAAGAGGCACGATTGAAAAAGCACGTCGTATTGGCTTTTACCGTAAAACCAAAACCGAATTTAGACCTGAGTTGGCAGATCTCAAGATCCTGCAACGTGATAACGCCCAATTCCTTCAGAATCTCCTACGTCCTGTACTCCCAAAGCAAATTAGTTTGTTAGAAAGTTCGTCAAAGTGAGATGATTTGATCGCAGCCGTTCTACAGTCCCTCAACTCACACCTGAATTGACAGTGGAACCAATTCAATTGAGGGATAGTTCTTGTCTATCTTGCAGAGTGCACGTGTTTGCTAAGCGAGACAAATACCGCCCCTAATTTTGTTCAATCGCGAAATGTGAGACAACTTTCGTGCAAAGCGTCAGATATTGCACTCAAACTAACTTGACAGAATGATATCCAAAGATACTAAAAAATAAGAAATGGATAGCCCTATAGACATACATGACGGAATTCGAATGGACTAGGTAGGACATCCGTACTTATTTATACAGTGCTTCAGCTTGAATTTTTGAGAAAATATCAGTGCTATGAAAAATAATACACAATCTGCCCATAAAGCAAGTAACCATGCGGAACATCACCCTGTCGTAAACCCTCCAGTTCGATTAGAAGTTTCGGTTTCAATCTCCAAAAGCCATCAATACCAGCATTTTCGAAGAGCTTATGATTCCGTGATCATATTGGTATCCTTTTTGGTAGGTGTTAAACAAATTTAAGCTGAAACATGAAAGATAATGATCGTTTTTCACCGAAATTCTAATTTTTCGCTTCTCACTAAAGAAGGGCACATGCGTGGAAGGCAGATCAGATTTTTGCAAAAAGTTCAGTTCTACACGTTCCGTATTCTTTCATTTGCAAATTTCTGAATCTCAAATGTCAACGAGATTCAGGGTGGAAATCACTTTTCACCCCCATTCGTTTATTGCAAAACGAACAGAAAGGTATCCTTGAGGTTGACATGACAATTGATGCTCATATGCTCGTGTACTGATTTCCGAACGAATTGCTTATCCTTCCTACCACTTCCATTGCGCCAATCCTCCTACAGTCGGTCCCTCGATGGCTGACCTTTCTTCAATTAGCTAAACGAGCCACGTGCCATCGATCTGATTGCCCCAGTAGTATCTGCTCGTTTAACACACATGCGCTTTCTAACATCAGAACATTTATCGAGAGGTGGAAAATTATGATAGCCTTCCTTTCCAATTGTTTATATTAAACATTTTAATTCTCAGTGCTCTTTGTTTGATATTCATTTGTAGTCAGAAGGCATAAGATTTTTTTGAGATCCTTCACTAGTAAAAAGTGCTCATATACCAGATAGAGAAATACAAATTTTCATTGTCGGCCAGTTCTAGAAAGTCCTTATAGTGGAGGGGTATATGTTTTAATTAATTTGATTAACTCTTCAGTATACGTACTGATTAGTGCCACAAAGGCATTTTGGATGAGTGTTGGATGTACGCAATGACCAACTGCAGCATTTGTAGCATCAGAAGAGCATGTCATAATCTCCATGTAGCTTTCTGAAGAACTATTATGTGTTAGAACGCAAACCTAAGAGATGCCATGTCATCGCAGGATGCGGACTAATGTAGTGTCGCAGCCAAACATATTGTATAGCCTACTAATTCAAGAATAATACAAAGCGGGCACAGCCTAGCGGACAAAATCTTATGGCCTTCTGACTACAAATGAATATCAAACAAAGAGCACTGAGAATTAAAATGTTTAATATAAACAATTGGAAAGGAAGGCTATCATAATTTTCCACCTCTCGATAAATGTTCTGATGTTAGAAAGCGCACGTGTGTTAAACGAGCAGATACTACTGGGGCAATCAGATCGATGGCACGTGGCTCGTTTAGCTAATTGAAGAAAGGTCAGCCATCGAGGGACCGACTGTAGGAGGATTGGCGCAATGGAAGTGGTAGGAAGGATAAGCAATTCGTTCGGAAATCAGTACACGAGCATATGAGCACGTAATAATACAGTACTCAAACCTCAATATACACCATATCTCATAAGATCTCTATTTAGAGGACAAATAAACGAATGAAAGGGCTGAAAATCGATTAACAACCAACCATGAACTCATCGTGACCATAATAGATATACTCAAAATAATGCAAATGAAGAGAAATAAATATAAGAACAATAATTACACACACAAATCAAATAATCTGAAAATAAACAAGTGTGCAACATTAGGAAAAAAATTAAGAAAAATTTCGGGAAAACTGTCATTACTTCCATTTCAGAATTATTTGTAATATACAACCAAAACCGTACCAAAGGATACACCCCAATAAAGACTCAACGGATGAATCATAAGACTCTTCGAAAAACCCAGTATAAAAGATAGAGTTTTTGAGACTGAAACCAAAGAACATCACCAATACATACAAAGAGAAAACTGAAAGGTTACGAACAGGGATGTCCGCAGTACTCATGCAAGTAGAGACTCAAGCACTGACATTTCTACCAAAAGAAATAGAATGAATGTACGATTCTTAGTACACCTACGAATTCCAGCATAAGATCAGACCCTATCCATTTTTCTTATTTTAGATCATTGGACCATTTCCTTCAAATGTTAGAGCACAAGACGCTTGAGAAGATTGCTCACACTCTCCTCAGAGATTGAACAAAAATTAGAGCGAGCGCGACGGTATACGTACTCAAAACTCAAAAGCACGAGCAGAGTAAAAAATGACATATAACGACAAACACACACCTCGACGTACTACTACATACATGTCGGTTATGATGTTACAGCGGCCTTTTCCGCTTCTTTCTCTCTCACCCCTCAAAAGATAAATAAAAGGAGTGCTAGAACAGCGCATAATTCATAATCACTTGGCCAAGTATTCAGAGATCACTTTAACAACAACATACACACGAGAAAAGAGATTAAATAAATATATGAGAACACAAATATAGATGCACACCTTTACTCGGACGAACTAGTGTGAACTCGAACATTCCAGCTTTTCACGCATGTCAAGTGACTGCCCACCCCCCCCCCCCCTAGACTGGCTACACTCCCCTGGCTCGGAGTTACCCTAGCTTTCTGGAAAAACTGCATCATGATGCCCCCTAACTGGAATAGACCCAAGTCGAACCACGTTAATGGGTATATTGACTTTCAGGTTATCTACACAATGGCAGAATTTCCATACCGGGCTTAGCAGAGCTTCGAGAGAAACACAAATGGAATATTCAGCCTCTGACTCCCGCATTCAAACTAGTTCGAAAAAGCGCCGACGACATCTCAATGATGGCCGATTCAGCCTGCTCTCCATGTTTACGGCAATCGAACCATTGTAAGTAGTATTGGATCTATCGCAAAACCTCAGGGGAGGGGTAGTCGCTGCAATAGTTCTTGCTGTCTGCTGATCCTTTGTTGCAGCGGGATGAAGCTCTGGGGTGCGTGCACTCGTGTGTGTAGCTTTCACGCCCACCCCAGAGCTTCCTCTCTTTGTCAATACTGGGATTGGTATGACAAGAGTGGCGCAAGCTATCTTTTAGAGGCTGGGGATAAATATAGGACAAAAAGTGAGCTTCAAAAGAAACCCGCAACGGTGAAAGAATAGACAGCATCATCACGACTCGTCAAAGCTTTTTCACTATAATATAATGGTAATGTTGTTCCTCTCTTTATTTGGTGTAGATGGCCTCGTCCATTCAACGATCGGATTTTTATTTCCAGTGGCCGACCGAAATCTTAGAGATCTGCTCTATCCGACGAGTGTATGGTGGGATCGTCATCCTACCGTGAGCTCAATCTCTCCGGGGAGATACATATAGTGATCTTTCTCAGAAAGGTCGACGAGTTGCTGAGGCTAAAGTGTGATCGTGTATATTAATGATCATGATTCGAATATCCTTCTATTTTATAAAGCGCTAACTTTGTGTGTCGGTTTGTGTATCTGTATGTGTGTGTGTGTGTGTGTGTGTGTATGTATGTGTGTCCGTCCGCAAAATGAAGTGAGTGAGAAGGAAGCTCATGGGATAAACAAACCGCTAACAAATCGGGTAGCTTACAGGATTTGAGATATCAATGTTTTGTAGCAGGATAGTTGTGATAACACTCTTAGGGCTATATAAACACCTGCTTAGCACACTTCCGTTCATTCCACATGGTGCTGCAGTGGCAGCTGGAGGGCAGTGGAGAGAGGAAGGGAGGATGAGGAAGGGAAGCGAAAAATCTACCGTCATATCATGATTGTGTCCCTTCTACTGTATGAAACACCATTGTGTTGCATACGCGTCACTTCCAGGAGGTGTTGGTGTCACAGGAGGAAGGGACCATAGCGGAGGATAGAAAGCTTGCGCAGGAAAGGAAGGTCCCGGCGGTTGACGGGGGACTAATCTGGTAATAAATAAATAATAACAGCCAAGTAAAATAGATCAGTGAATTGTAATGAGAGCTTCCACCGAATGTAACGAAGTGCTGTGGAGGGGAGGTGATAAATCGACACGCAGAAGCGCTAGTTGCCATGCACACCCGCAACCGCTCAGAGGGGTAGCGAATAAGGACTCAGAAGTGTACGAATAAGAACTCCGGATACCAGCTTAGTAGGTCCGCCAACTTTGCCGAGATCCGACTCCCATCATGATAGCAGTTAATGGAAAGTTAACAAAAAAAACAAATTAAAATATACAGAACATAACAACACCCAATATAGGTACAACATAATGCCATTCAGAGATAAAAATTCGCTTCTGAGCCATTCAAGTTTGGTCAAGGTACAGTTTCTGTTCTTCTGTTCTTAAAACCACCCTTGAGAAATTAAGATCTTTCTGACTTTGCTCCTAAATGAGCTAGAAGAGTTAGAGTTAATGACGGAGGGCGGTAGATTATTCCAAAGCGTTATCACTCTTTGCGTGAAAGAACTTCGGAAATTCTGACGTATTTGTTTTATCTCTCAAAAGTCTAAAGCCATGACCCCTTGTGCGACCAATCGTTAAAGATTTTTTGAATAGAGCGTCAAAATCCAAATCCAGCAGAGAGCTTGTAAACGAAGTCGTAATCAAAAAAGTTTGCGTCTCATTTCAAGAGAGTGTTCCTTGAAAAGATCCAGCCTGTCCTTATATGGAACATACACTTCACGAGCGAAAATCGCTCAGTGAAACTAGACTGAACATTCTCAATGAGTTCCACCATAGAACGAGTGGAAGGACTCCACAACATGGGGCAGTATTCCAAGATAGGGCGCACGTAGGTGACAAAGAGTGCGAATAGCGTTTTAATTTTTTAATCAATTTTTTATCTATCAATATCTGGTACGAAAAATTTGTAATGAACTTCCGTAAGACTCCTTTTTGTGAATGGAGTGTGTGGGACGCTGCTGGCTTCTTATAAAAATATCAAAAGATCGAAAGCGCTGGTAAAAGGTGAAACACGCTGTAGCGGTGAACGGCATGCCTATTGAAGCGATTGCGGTTTTCATAGACCAGAGAGAACCAAAAATAACCATGCGTTCTAGTTCCATTCAAAATCGAAGTGGTATTTGGAATGCGATTTGGCTACTACCATGACTTGTGGGGTCAACGATGAGCAGGTCACCGTTTTCATCTTCCCTA